GGGGCGGGCGGTGTTCCCGGCCGCCGGGCTGGGGGCTGCAGCGCAGGCCCCTGGTGCGGGGCCGTCCTGCCCGCGGGGAGGGAGGCGGCTCTGGAGCAGGGAGGGCTGCGGGAGCCCCTGGCGGAGCGGGTTTGTTGCTTGGCAGCCTCATGCGCTCCGTGTCAAGCTGCAGCGCCTGAAGGGACTCGGCAGTAATTGGCTCCATTAATCTGAAGCTGTAATATTTGCTTGTCATCACAGACCCCTTTTTAAAAGCTACCTTAACGTGTTGATCACTGCTGCAAACTCAGCGTGATGGGCTGGTTAGGTTACTTCATTGTGCATATCTTTAGCAGGCTAAGTCTTTGTCCTCATGCTCCCATTCAGTGTAATCACCTATTATGTTATCCTGACAGGTCTGCAAATGCCACCCATGAAGCCATCAATGTCACCCTCCACACCACGCTGGCTGCTACTACCAAGCTGGTGGTACCTACACCTGCTAAGCCCATCCTTCCAGTTCAGACTGGAGTCCAAGCCCAGCAAGAGGAGCAATCTAGTGGCATGACCATTTTTTTTAGTCTTCTTGTTTTAGGTGAATGATGAACTTAGTCTTTTAATTCCTGTTAATGTTACTCTGTATCTGAGAACATTGGCTAACATTCAAAATCATGGCATTTTCTTTCTCCTCTGTTTTTTTTCTTATGAAATGGAATACTGTACAGACACAGGGATTTAGAAAGTTGGGTGTATAACTGCCTGAACCTCCCAGAGCTGTGGAAAGCCACAGACCATTGCAAACCTTTTCACCCTGGTCTCAGTGCAAACACCGTGTTTAATTGTCTTTGCCTTCTTTATCAAGCACATGGCATGTGTTCATGTATGAAGAAGACACTGCCAAAACACTCCATGGTGCTTGCAGATGACCACAGTGGCCTAGATAGATGTCCATTTAGCTACTTCCAGCCCTTCTGGAGAGCCCCCAGGTGTTCCCTTACAGAAACCAATAGAAGGCAGTCAGATTGACATGTACAAGAACTAAAATTCAGTATCTATTTTTCTGGCTCTCCTTCCTTACATTGCCACAGGAGTGCAACGATAAGCTGCAGATTGCCATAGGTACATTCTTGATGTACATATATAGGCATTTAGAATGGCTGTTTTCTTTAATAGGATACAAGTATCTCCCACCATCTGCTTAGAGCAACAAAACTGTAACAGTAACAAACTGTAATGTAGGATTTATGGTTTGGCTGTTTCCTTTGTGTGCTTGGTTCCTCCAACACAAACCACACTGAAACATATTTCTGTGACAGGCAGGTCACCTGCTCTTCTAAGTGGTTATTCTTACCACTAGCAACTGGAGCAAATAATAGGTATGGAGCTGCCAGCATTGCAGAAATGTCTGCAGATAATTTGGGTTTGAAAAAAATAAAAGTTTGTCTCCTGATAACTGTTACTAAGGGCAGAAAAAAGTAGAAGGCTGATGCTTATTTCTAAAGTATCTGTTTGTCTTCAAAGAGGGTTAATGTTTTTCCAGAGTTCAGTGGCACACCAGAATGTAAACAGAAGCAAAAGAAAGACCAAATCAAAATGCATTTAAGATTAAAATAAAATTCCTGAATGTGTGTCTTTTAAAAGGGCCATTAATGGTAATTAATTCCTATGGCTTAAGAACAGAGCTGTGATTTATTTAATTGTTTTTATCTGTGTTCCAGCCAATTTATGCCAGTCAGATAATGGATGTTAAATCATCACCCTTGGGACAGGGGAGTTCCCTGAGCAAAGTAAAGCTTATTGTTCATAGTTATTCCTATTCTTAATCTCTCATTTGAGATCATAGGAAGGGTGAAAACTGGATGTATATGCCAGGTGCTTAAATCTGGATGTTTTGACCTGTGCCCTTTAAAAGGCTCTAAGCTGAGACAGAGCCAGAAGCTGATCTGGGCTGTGTCAGAGCCAAGCTCCCAGTTCAAAGTGTGTTAAGTAGCACATGTTGGTCACTGACCCCAGATTTCTATGGCTTGTTTATCTAGTCAAACACCACTTCACTGTCAAAGTCAGACCTTTGTTCTGCCATGTTCACGGGATCTATGGAATTCCCCTCTGGTACTATATGCTTTTCCTGTGCTCTTCCTTATGGGGACACCCAAATGTGCTTGAAACCTGTCCCAAGCACCATTTTTTCCAGCCTCTTGCCTGATTGTTACACTTCTGATATGTACAAGTGATATGCAGCCAAACTGAGCAGTCTCACACAAGGAATGGGTGACCAGCAGGTGAAGAATAACCCAGGCTGCCATAACATTTATGGGAGTGGGGGTTACTTCTTAGATATGGTTGCTTTTTGGTTTGTTGCCAAAACAAAGTACTCAAAAGCTGGTGGAGAGGACCTGGTGATTAGGTCTGCTAAATAGAAAGCATGCTTTTATTTGCTGGAAATTCTTAAAAGCAGTAAAATTGGTATTTTTAGAAGATAGTTTTCAGTCCTAAAGTTTGCCCTAGTTCTGTCATTTGTTGATCCATTTACATACTTCAGTGATATTTATGTTGGAACTAAGATTGGGTTACTTGCATTAGTGGGTTTCTGTTCAATCCTTATGACAAGTTTTGCTCCATGTATTTTAGAAATACTACTTAAAAGTATATTTTATTCTCTTCTAACATTTCTTAATCTACATTTTTTTTTCCTTCACAGCTATTTGCATCATATTGGTGCATTTACTAATAAAATACCGACTTCATTTTTTACCAGAAAGTGTGGCTGTTGTTTCTTTAGGTGAGTAACCATAACATTTTTATATTGACTTTGTGTTCATTCAGGGGCTCTCAGTAGTCTGTAGTTGAAATATGCTCTGTTGTACATTATCCATCAGTAGAAAGATGCAGCTGACTAGATTCAGTGAAGAAAACAGCCAATTCATAGAATTAAATTAATGGAAGAAACCAAGAAATGAGCATATGTGCAGAGACTGGCCCAGAAAAATGACACATACAGGCACTGTAGGGATGTCACTACCTAAGTACTTGGGCAGCTTCCTCTCTTTTTGCATCTGCTCTGTGGGACAAGATACTGCAGCACTGCCTGGCAGTGAGACTCTAGCCTTTCCTTTGAAGTGGTATATGTGTTTGTATTAATTTCAGTAGAATTAAGTCTGTATGTGTGATTTTAATCTAGCTGGGGACTGAAATTGTATCCTGAAAATTTGCCTGGACTGTCAGATACTGAACTATCCCTGTAGTACCATTACAAGAGCTCTTCCTGTGAAGACTTGAGCTGTAGCAATTCCACCTTCAATGAAGATCAAGTGCTTACTTAATTTTATTTAAATTTGGAGTATTTTAAAGCCTGTTGTTTAATATTAGGGTCATTTAATTTATTTGTATGCTGTTCCTGATTTGTAAATGTGTCAATGAGGAGGAAATCAGGCCAAATAAATGCATTCTTTTCTCCATATACTGTCTAACATAGTGTTTAAATAACCTGATCTAACTAACCCCAGCAGCAGTTTTTCAGCTGTCTCTGTATCTTGTTTACAAGATTTGGTGGTAGTTTTGCTTCTGTTACTAGTGACACTTTCCCTGACAGCTGTTCTAAAAATAGAACAAAAAGAGAAAGATGCTTGACTGTAATCCTGATACAGCAAGGAGGAGTGTAATGCTTGCTGAGCAGGTAGATTTTTTACTTTCTTCTGGGCTTTGCTGGTACCTTCTTCTCTCATATTTCTGGACTGTCTTTTCACTCAGTTTCTCAGTGGGAGGGAGTAAGCTTTCTGGTGCTTGTCAGTACCTTATGCTTTCTGGAAAACAGGAATCTGTTTCATCTGGGATGCTAGATTGAGAAGATCTTAGAGCTGTTACTTAGCAGAAAGAAAAACATATTTTCCTTCGGGCATGAATTTTGCAAGGCCCTGTTTGAGCTTCAATATTTGTGTGCAGCTGGAAAACCAATAGGCCTGAAAGAAATCTTACCTAGTGCTGGTGTGGATTTCCTGGGCATTGCAAACACACCTCATCTTTATAGGAGCAGGATCCATCAGACATTTCTGTGTTTAAGCTTCTCTCTACTCTAGTGTGACAGAAAGATCAGAGCTGCTGCAGATCATCCTGACTCACTTTGTCATCCCCACACCA